GAGATGGGCACTGCTCTGTGCTGCCAAAACTGTGACTGCAGAATGTTTTGCAGTCTGATCGGATGTGTTAAGGTGAGGTGGAAAGAAATAACAGAGAACTGCTCAGCTTTTAAAATAATAAATCAGGTGTCTGGATACTGGGCTTCTTTCTTGTTATATTTAGTAAATGTATATTGGAGCTTGCAGTGAATTGCTCCTGGATGACAGAGCTTTAATAATATTAATCTAAAAGTCTTACGGGAATAACTAAGTCCAGAAATTAATCGAAGAAGAACTTGTGGCTAGCTTTAACATGCACAAATGAAAATATCTGTTTTTCCAGGATCAAATCCTCATAGAATCATTTATATTGGAAAAGACCTCTAAGATGATTAAGTCCAACTATTAACCCAACACTGCCAAACCCACCAGTAAACCATGTCTCCAAGTGCCACATCTATATGTCTCCTAAATCCTTTCAGGGATGGTGAATCTCCCACTGTCCTGGGCAGCCTGTTACAGGGCTTGACAACCCCTTCATTGAAAACTTTTTTTCCTGATGTCCAATTTAAACCTCCCCTGGCACAACTGGAGGCCATTTCCACTTGTCCTGTCGCTTGATACTTGTGAGAAGAGACCGATACCCCCTCACTAATCTTCTACTTTACAATGGAAGTTTAGAGGAACATTGTATATGCTTGGATTAAGTAGTAGTCTAGCATAGAACAAGCCATAAGGAAAATTAAATCTCTCAATCAAGCCTTCAGTTCCTTAAGGCAGATGTTCCTATCTGGACATATTTAGCATACGGTCAGGATAATAGGAGATTTGAGGTGCTTTGGGATGATTTAGGTAACTCTGAGTCATTTTTTTTTCAGAAAGTTCTGTATTTTTAAATAGCCTAAAGATTTATGTAACACTATTGCTAAATCATTCAGAAATGTTTTATGTAAGTCTAAATATAGTAACATACATTTTATATGTAAAACTATATAGTACTTATGTCCTTGCATGTAATTTTGGAGAGAATTTCCACACTGAAGAGTAAAAATAGAACTAAAATAACAGTTGAACCATTTATCTCACCTTTAGGACCGAGAAAAAAATATTTCAGCATCATTACATCAAATTGATCTCTATAAAATCTAGTGAAGACTGCTTCAGATTTACATACATAGAACAATTAAGTAAATGAGCATTGCATGACTGTAGGAACATAACAGGAAATGTTCAGAGAAATGCAGGTCGTTAAAGAGGAGGTAAATAAATGCAATTTGACCTAAGTAGTCGTTTCATGAAATTGGGTAATTTCACCTTCAACATCATCTCTCCTGTTTATTGTAAACTGAGAGACTGCAATAAAACTATTAAAGTGTATGCATACCTTTAGAGATTTCTTTAGAGATTGTTTAAATACTTTCACTGTCAAGAGAGGCACAGTATTTTGTTTTCTTTCAGAACCTTTTGCAAATGATCTTTGCTGCCAGTTCCGCCTGCCAAAAACAATTAAAATACAGCGAAAGTGAAATGCCTTTGGTAGCACTTCTCTGCCTTTGTTGTTTTAAGGTGAGGTGCAAGACTTACACTTGTCACTTCAATGTTAAAGAGGGATCCTCTGAGAAATCTTCATTTGCTAATTACTGGAAATAAGGGTCATTGATGGACCTTTGAAGGTAACAGCAGGATTAAATGCTCATGTATCCGTCCATAGGGAATCCAACGTGCTCCCTGAGCAGAGACAACTCTGCCAACTAAGGAGCTGATCCAGCTCACCTTCCTGTTCTATCCCATCTCTGTCATATTTGCAGCTAATGCAATTATCCCAGCCTAAAGCTGACTGGGAAAGAACAAAAGCAGGTAACTTGTATTTTTAAGGCAGACTAACCTCTTCTCACTAGACCCTCCCAAGCAGAGGACCTTTTTGCTGTAGAGAAGTGTTAAATTGGTGGAAAAAAAATGCAATATAAATTTTTTTATATATTTGTTATTTCCTTATCAGCACCAACTTTTTTTGTTGCATACCAAGACCTGCAAAACAATAAATGCTAGTTTTCTATAAATTACCTCCTTTTCTTGTTATCATATAGAGAACAGGGATGGGGAGCAGATTTACAAACAGAGGTGGATTTTCCATGCCAAATTATGAGAAATCTGCTCTCCCAAAAAACCTGCAAACCAGCCTCAGCAGCTACCACTGTGGGCATAGAGAAGCACCAGGAGTGAGGAGAGTCTTTGAGGCACAGCTTCAAAGCTGTGGAGATCTAAGTAGGTTCCCTTTAAACGTTTTCCAGAGGCCCCACATGCAGTAACCTCTGAGAGAAGTGGAGGATTTGGATGAACTCAACAATGTGTCTTTGCCATGTCCAATAGAAGGCAAAGGAAGGCTTTGGTTTCCAACAGAGGGATAATTCTGGGTTTGTTGGTGCAGACTGGTGGGTTCTGGCTTGGTGAGGTACTGCTGGGTGATGCTTAGAGGGATTTGCAGGCTTGATCCAGTGTTTTATCCTTATTTTCTTGAAGAAACATACATTTTTTTAAGTACAACTTTCCAGGACCCTGAATTAGGAGACATAGAACTGAAATTTCTCTTCTGGCTGTATATTTTCTACAAATCTTCTCTGCCAAGAGGAGGTAATAAGCGCCAGTTGCTTCAGACAAGCTGTTTTCACCCCAGCATTCTAAGGTGTTTCCAACCTGGCAGGTGTCAGAGTTCAATCTCTTTTTCCCAGCCTTACATGGCACTGTTATCATATTTTCAATCAGCCTGTTTCCTCTGTGTAGGTTTTCATGGCCAGTTTGGGTTGCAGGCATTACATATGTATATGCAGTCTTGCTGTCATTGCAGGCTTGCAAAAATTCTACTCATGCAGAAAGACAGCATTTTGGGGGCAATTAGGGCTTCTCTATAGATTTATAGTCCTAGGCATTTGCAGAAGCATCTAACACCAGAGACAAGGCGAGATATTGCGCCCTCACATACCTGATGAGATGAGTGCATGATAAATCAGCAGCTGTTCTTCAGAGGGATGAGGGATATTGCACTTAGGAGAAGTGACACTTCATCAAGTTTGTCTTACTGCAAAAGTCCAAAAGAACAGAGAAAGCTGAAGAAAGAAAAAGTCAGGTGGCATTCATCCACATAGGCTTTTTTATAATCCATATGCTTGTACTCTGAGTGAGTGTTGATATGTATGTGAATGGGTATAGAGGTAGAGAAAACCTTTCAGGAGTTCACAGATACTTTGCAGCAATCAGTAAAGCAAGGAAAAAAGCTACCCTTACAACAAGCTTTATTTCTAAACATCACATAGAGTATTAATCTGCTGTATTTTCTAAAGATGAAACCTCTTGTTCATTTTTGCTATACATTGCGTGACCTGGTTTCATATGATCTTGTATTTGCGATGAACTTCGGCATCTAATTTTTACCTGGACGTATAAAAAGCACTGTGTGAAGGGGAAGTAATATTTTTCTATTAGACAGCTTTTAGGAAAGCACCATGTTTTTCAAAAATGCCACCTCTCGAATGGGGGTGATGAACAACAGTAAATTAGTGTGAAACAAAGTGAGTTTTCTGGAATAAAGTAGAATTGGGCTGGGTAGAGGGAAGACATTTTGCACTGAGTGATAAGAGGCATTTTTTCCTTTCACAGTGGGTTATTTCTTGCAATTTGTAGGCTGCAGTTGTTTTTCAAAAAACAGCAATCTGGAAATGCGTAGCTGAATTTTGCTATACAGTATGTCTGAGCGAAGATTATTAAAAATGACATGCACATTTCTGTGTATTTGATAATGTCAAGAGTAGAAGTAGTTCAGCACATTAGTGTTAAGAGATATCGAAAATTTTTATTTTTTTCCTGCAAAATATCTGTATTGTCTAATGTAAGAATGTAATTTTGGGCTTGCTTGCAAGGATAATTACATTGGGACTCAATAAGGCACCTAAAACTTGCTGGACTTTAAGAGCACCTTTCAATCCACCATTATTCAAGACAGCACTAGTAAAGGTGTGCATTAAAGTTTTGGCTTAAATGCTTTGCCAAATTTAGGCTTTAGAATTTAACTGCCCTCCACCAATTAGTGCTCACTCTATCACATTTGTAATAGTACACTGAAGTTGGTGACTTTTCAGTTGGAAAGGCTTCCTTTAAACGTGTGATCTTCTCAAATATGGGCTGTGATTTTTTGGTGCTGCACAACTCAGCTGACTGAGATTTACAGAAACACTGCCATGTTTGGAAAGGGAAGAATCAAACCAGAAGAGAAGGTAACTCCAGGAGGGGGTTTCAGGTAGTACATCCTAGTCTACCAGATCCTCCTCCTGCCCTAGCCATATCTCTTTAGCAGTGGGACTTTCTGTTGTTCACTGGTGCAATTTTTCTCTCTTTGGAATCATAAGTGACTGGCATCTGGAGTTGGCATCACGCAGCCAAGTCATCTGCTGGGACTGGCTGGGATATTAGACTGTGAAATGCCACTCTGAATCCTTCTTGTGAACTTCTCGGCCATTGACATGGGACCCATTTGTGTCATTATCTCCTTGCCAGGCTTCACGGGTTCCTTTCTTCTCCGTTTCATTCTGTCCTTGGGAATGAGGCCATTCTCTACTCACAGCACGTGGTAGCTGAGCCAATCTTACAGGAGATCAACATGATTCCTTGGATATTGCCCTCAAAGTTTACTGGCAGGCTGCAGCTACCTTTGAAAATTAGTTTGGATTAGTACAGGGTATAGAGTTAAAATGCACTTTTTTAAAATAACTCCATGTGTGGACATTATCTGTATGATGTGACTGTATTTGTAAATTAATGCACACTGGGAGGCTGTATGGGTAAATTCATTAAATAACTGTACATGTATATGTGTAAGAATGTGTGCATAAATAGAAATTTTCAGCTTATATATTTGCAGTAATTTGTAACCAAACATAAAATTCTCGGACATTATACTTTAGTTATGATCAGCATTGGCTAGAGCATACATATTAATTTTCAATTACTTTCTTTTTTTTTTTTCCCAGCTCTTCTTTATGCAACTATTTTTGGAAACGTCACCACCATTTTCCAGCAAATGTATGCCAACACCAACCGATACCATGAGATGCTGAACAATGTGAGGGATTTCCTCAAATTATATCAAGTCCCAAAAGGCCTTAGTGAAAGAGTCATGGATTATATTGTCTCAACTTGGTCCATGTCTAAAGGAATTGACACAGAAAAGGTATGAGTACCTGAGGTAACAATTTACATAGCAAGAGTCTATGTCCATTGTGTGCTTTCTTAGAAAGAGAACTATATAACAGCATATGACTTACTAACAAATCCTTAACTGCATGCTACTACTTTGTGTTTGGAAGAAACGCTGGTTGTTTTAAAAATTGACTTTTTTGAAAATATGCCTTTATTTTTCGTTATGGTAAATGTTTGCTGCTTTCCGGTCTTAGTTTGTCTAAATATTAAATAATTTCAATGTACTTAACTATTGAAATCAGTGGGAAATTAGTCTTCAAATTGGTCTGAGAACATAATTTTGTGTCTAAACTACATTGTTATTATCCTGAGAAGTATTGACATCTGTGCATTGCAATTAAATGAGTTTGATTGGCTTGGACCTTTTGCTGATGCCCAGGACATTGACATATCCATCAGCATAATTAGTATAGGATTTAATGGCAGTAGAGATTGATCTTCTTGAGCTAAAGTCTCTGGACTAGCACTTTAGGCCTTTCGTAGGGAGATGCAGAGAATGTGATACTGTTGCCATCTATGCAGGGTAGAAGTCCTACAGGACTTCAGCCCTCAGAAAGGACTGGTCATTTAAATTTCTTCAAAAGGAGAAGGTCGTCTTCTGAGAGTGATTTATCGTGTGCCAGGACAGACCTCATGACTTGTTCTCAAGGCCTCTCTTTTTGCATGATATGTGCAGTGAATCTGTCTGGCCTTGAATATTTCAGAGATCTGAAGTCAGATGGGAGGGGTTCCACCCGCAGTGCCTTGAATGTAGGCAAGATATAACAGCTTTAGGTCTAGATTTTTGGTCCGTGGAGATCAGCAATGCTCCTGTTCCTTCTGTGGACCTGATACAAATCAGCTTAAATTAGGCTTTCAAGCTCCAGTAACCATGATTTCCCTCCTAAGAACTAAAAAGTTTCCAAGGGAGGGTAAGGAAGCATCATGCCAGCTTAATATCTTGAAATATCTAGTGCTTACACAGCTTTGAAGTTCTTTCCTCAGTTGAAGGGCAATATGGGCAATATGGGTTGGTGGTGCAGATTGTTCAGGCAGGCCAAGATGAAGTGTCTACACTGAAAAATTAAGTCTTACATCATGCTGATGCTGCAGCATTTCTTTTATTAATCACCTGCTGTGAAATGCAGTTTAGCATCACAAATACAACTACTTTAAGTAACAAAGATTTATATTTGTTTGATTCTTGTGCTTCAGTATTCCATATTCTTTAATATGTTAACTTCTTACACACTAATACCTTAACTTCCCAGTCCCGATTCATACAGTGTTAAGAGTGAGCTTTCATATTGCAAACTACTGTAAATGCATTCAGTCCTATTGTGTAAATGTCAAACCTCATGAAAATTCAAGTTTCATTTGCATTTATCTCCTTGCAGTTAAGCCAGAGTCCTGTGTTACTCCACTACAGTTTCATTAGATTTTAATGATGCTTTGCAGTTAATTAGGAGAACCTATGCTTTAATTACTGGAATTTCCTTCTATAGTTTCCGCATGTACGGTTTTATAGATGATAAAAATGCAGTTAGAGCCCTAATCTGTGATTCATGGTAAGCAGTGTTCTCTGGTCTGTAAGATGGAGTGCCTGCTTAGCTAAATAATTAATATGCCTGTAAAATCTGTGACTCAGGATTTTAACAATTTTTCCTTGGTGAAGACTTGCCTACACATAGGCCTGGATAAAAACCTATTTAAAACAGTGGGAGGATTTCAGGAACCTCTGCATCTGGTCATCAGTGGCTGCAGCTAACCGAGCTTCCCAGAAAAGCCCACGTTACAGAAGAGCAGAGACAAGATAAAAGTAAGAACTTGAGCACTGGTTTGAACATTTTGGTGGCTTGTGTCCCTCACAGCCTGCAAGTCTGCAAAAGCATCAGCACCAGTGGCCTGCAGTGCCTGCACAGAGCATCACAGGCTCTGTAAGGAGAGAAGGGATCAGGCAGGTTGCTTTCTGCTGCAGGAGAAAGCTTTAGCTTTAGCAAAAGGTTTGGAAAGCTGTGACATAGCCAGTCTTCCTACATTTATCTCCACTCAGGAAGGTGTTATGATGTGCTTCACCAAAACAAATGAGGAAATGTAAAGTCCCAGCTGAAAAATCATAGAAACAGTGGAACAGTCCCAGAGATTAGTCATCTAGGGTGGATTGTTTTTCTTGCCTTAGTTCCTTCATTACCCCTTCAAGCCCTGCCATAAGACCCTCTGCATTTAAATTGAATCTGTCTGTACCAAACCTAGAGCAGGCAAGTGGCTCTGAAAACACTACAGGGACCTTCAAGGTACCCAGTGTCAATTCAGATTTAGTTATTCAGATTTTTTACTGTAGATAATTAGCAGGGCTAATGGGACTGCACTGCTAATGGGACTGTAGCTGAGTTGCTAAATCCAGATAGTGCTCCAGCATAGGTTGGAAGAGGGGATTACCGTCCCAGGTCTTGAATTGGTTCTCTGCACTGCTTTGTCTGACAGCATGGACCTGACCTTAGGTGTTTCTACCAGTTTGGTTTTCAAGGCTGCAGCAGTGACATTCTGACCAGTCTGTTGTCTGGATATATTTGCCTCACATGATTTCCCATTCTCCCTAATTTTTATGAACTTTTCATTAAGCTTCTTATTGCCTTGCAAAACATGTGTGCTCATGACACATGATAATTAGTGAGGAATTTCAACTTTTCATTTTCCATCAGACAGCTCAGACAGTTTCCATCATCCAAGGGTGTTTTTCAACCTAACATACACTATTTCATCCTAAATTGTTCAAAATATATCTACATTGTCACTTTGGGATGTGTTTTGCAACATCATTTGCCACAAATTTATAATACATTTCATTCATTCAGTCAGGATGTTGAAATGGCTTTGTTTTGAAACCCAAATTCAAAGAACAAGAAGGAAGAATGAGATTTCTTACACGAGTGTTACAGTAGGTTCCTATGGTGTTGAACCATCCTAGTAATGACAGAGTAAAAGTAAACACACGGGCATGTGTTTCTTTGATAACTAAAGATTTTAAATACATATGCTTGAAATTAAATTGTAGGTTAATAACTTGACTGGAATTACTACCACTTCACATGTGTTGATTTGTTGCCTTAAATCTCAAATATTTATTCTTGAAGGACACATTCAGTGTGTAGTCCCAAAGAAGCTCTTGGCTAAAACTGATGAGTCCTAATGTGGGAACTCAAGGCAAAGTGGAAGTTAGCATGGAGGAGGTAAAATGAAAATCTAGCCCTTGCTGCTTGTCTAGCAAGATGTCCATAACAGAACTTTGCCTTAAAGCCCCAGTCTGTTCTCCTTGTATGTGGGAGAGGACTTGGTTTCGCACACTGAAGTGACGGTGCTTTAAGCTCCGAATTTTGGATTTCCCGATCTCCCTGGGAATAGCTTATCTTCAAATCCTGCCTTCAAACCCCAGCACCTCAGCCTCTCTCTGAGTGTTCACAAACAAGGAATTAACAATGACACTAAAAGCATTAGCATATTTATTATTATTACTTAAGGGGAAGCAAGTGGCCTCTGATCCATAATCTTAAATCACTAAAACATGAGAGCCTTCCTCTTGACAGCTGGGATGATATATGTAATACATGCACATGGACTCATCTCCTGGTGTAACAGTGGCTCAAACAAGATGGAATTTATTTTATTTTTTTTTTTATGTTTAAAGATAAAGATTTCAGGGTTATCCATCTAACAATGAGCAGGGCTAAAAACATGACAAACCTGAGAAGCTTTTAAACTCTAAACAGTATCTCTCGTCCATCAGAACCTGTTTGTTTTGGGGTTCTTTTGTGAGAGGTAAAAAAGAGGCTCTGTGTATGACCATTTATAATGTAATAATTTGATATATGAAACACATTGAATTACAATCTCTTAGTTTTTGTTAAAATCTCCAGGCAGCAAATGAGAAATTTATAGATATTAGCTCTTCTGTAAGAAATGGGTCATTATCCATAAAAGCAGAACAACCATTAACTAACATGCAGGTGTTTCAAGGTCTCATCTAATTATAACACTCCAAAATGTCAGTAAAACCCAAAGATTTTCTCTTCTTGACCTCTGTGCTCTTGAATGGCTTAGAATTTGCTCAGAAAGCAATTAAATAAATGTCTATCATGTTTTGACTGTAGTTTCCTTCAATAAAGCCATAGGTTGAAAGAGAAAAAAGGCATCTTATTTAGTTTCAACCTGAACATCAATTGCAATTGGGATAATTAGAGCCGATTTCACATTGCACTGTCTGAAATGGAAATCATGAGAAAATAACACAGTATTAAGACTATTCACTGCTGGCCCCCTAAGCTTTCATACAGGAGAAACAGGTTTATGGTAAATAGGTTGTAGCTTCATTAAATGTTAATTTACACAAGGACAGTGCAGTTTATTTCAGTTTGCTGTTAATAAGATCTTCAAGACCTGTAGAAATAATTAGAGATACCCTAGACAAGAAGAGGAATCAGGCTGCCATAGAGGAATCAGGCTACCATTCCTACCATGTCCCATCACAGAGAGGTGTCTGTAAGTGCTGGCTGGATTTCCTCATGGAAGACCAGGGTAGAAGGCTTCCGAGCCTCGTGGCCAAAGATAACTTCTACAAAATTAGCTGTAACAGCTGCATACAATTCCCTGCTACAAAGGGAAGGTAAAAATCTTTTGGACAAGTACCTTTGTTTCGTTGTAGAGGCGAGGTTGTTGGTCGTTCCTTGCAGATCGGGACGAGGTGAACAAGAAGTTGTCCCTCACCTCCCAGAGCTCAGCTAGGACCAGGTACAGTGTGAATCCATGGTTCTTTGGAGAGCAGGATGCAGGAGAGACGGTCAAGGTCTCCCTGTCCTTCACACAGGTCCGTGAGGTGGCCTGTGCACCAGTGGGGCTTTCTGTTTCCCCTTTATGGGTAGCATGGATTATTTACCTCCTGTATGCACTCTGCAGAGCCAGGAAAGGCTATCTACAATTGTCTCTGACTCTTGGATG